CCCCAGGACCCCCACGGGCTTCACAGTATGGAAAAGTCCCTTACTTTCCTTGTGCGTTTTGTAGCCTTGTGAAGAATAAATCTTATTTTTTAAAATACATTTTCTGAACTCTGAGACACATGCTTCTTGTAGATAGTTTGTAAACTACAGAGAAGTAGAAAGGAGGCGACCGCCTGTCCCCGGCCCCAGGGCCTGCTCAGGTCCTGTCCCTTGCATTCTCTGCAGCTGTTGAGAACCTCCCTGTGACCGTGCTGGGTGGGTGGTTTTTGAGTGTGTATCTACTATCAGAATAACAAGAAGTGTAAGAGAAACGATGTTAAGACCGTAGGGGCCTGGGACCCTCTGGTCCAGGGTCTGGTCCAGGGTCCCTTGCACAGGAGGAGAGTGACACCCAGGGCCCACTGGGACCCCTGAGGCTGCTGTGTGCTGGGAACAGGGACGGAAGTCCCACCCCTCCTGCAGGGCCTGAGGCACACTGGGCGGGGTTAGCATGGGGTGGCCCCCAGCAGAGGGCTCTTTGCAAGAACCATGAAAGGTGAGACATTCCAGGCCTGCAAGGACTTCTGAAACTACTTACTTGGTGGCCCAAGGAGTGACAGCAAAGCCAGTCCCCCTAAACAATGGGCATGTCATTTGCCTTCACCCCAAAGCACTCGTCATGGGGTCCATTCTGACTCACAGAGACCCTGTAGGAGAGAGCAGACCTGCCCTATAGGGTTTCCTAATCTATAATCTTTACACAAGCAGATTGCCTCATCTTTCTCCTGTGGAGCAGCTGGTGGGTTTGAACCGCTGGCCTTTTGGTTCGTAGTCGAGCACTTTAACCACTGTGCCACCAGGGCTGCTTTTCACCTGCATAACCCCACAGAAAGTGCGAGATGCCTCTTTTCATTTCAAAGGCTCTCCGGCTCTCCCATCACCAGCCTCCCTGTGCACACAGACGGCTGTCTCCTTAACAGTCCGATGGTTGGTTCACACATCACGTGTCTGTCTGTTTAGTTTTTCCAAATGAGTTTAGTTTTTCCAAACTCTGAGGCAGGGTGTGTTAACCCCCGGCTCAAAAGTGAGGAAATGAAACAAGTCTGAGATGCTGAGTGGCTTCCCTCGTGGGGGCCCCGGGGTGGGGCCAGCATGCCCTGGCTGACGCCTGAAAGCTGGGAGGTCCTCCCACCCCAGGGTGCCTCAGAAGGGAGGCCTAGTGGTCTGCTCATCCCTGTGGAGCACAGTGCGGCCCTGACACACGGGGTTACCAGGAGCCTGGTCAACTGGACCGGGTCTCTGGAATCCCGGCTCGGGACTGCCCTTCAGCACCATGTTGTCCCCATCTCTAATGAGTGACAGAAGACTTGTCACAGTGACCTCACATCCGGGACACCTGGGGCAGGAGTGGGTGGGCCTGCAGGCTGGGGGCGCTGCACTGTTACGTGCTCCCTGGAAAGAGCCCTGTGCCGGGGGCCTGATCCAGGGCAGACCTCGTGGCCGTGGGAGCAGGGTGGGCAGCAGGCAGGGTGCAGCAGGGTGGCAAGGGAAGGAAGTGCGTGGTTTCCAAACCCTGGTGGTTCCCCATCTGCTGTGGGTTCAAACAGAGCTGACCGCGGCCTTGCTCTCCTGCCTCTGAAGGAGATCCCGGTGAACTTGCGCTTCTGCCTGGAGGGCATGGAGGAGTCGGGCTCCGAGGGGCTGGACGGGCTGATCTTCGCCCAGAAAGACACCTTCTTCAAGGACGTGGACTACGTGTGCATCTCCGACAACTACTGGCTGGGCAAGAAGAAGCCCTGTGTCACCTACGGCCTCCGAGGCATCTGCTACTTCTTCATCGAGGTGCCGAGTCCCACGCTGCACCCCTGCCTGGCCCACGCGTCCCCTCGCTCCCCCACACCCCCAGCTGCAGGCCACACCCTAGACAGACGCTCAGACCTCCATCGTCCCCTGAAGTCCGCACAGTCCCTGTCAGTGGTCAGGAGCCCCCTCACGGCTCGAAGCCAGAGCGCCTTGGCGTTATGGGGTCAGGTGGCTGCCCTGCTCACACCTTGCTAGGCCCGCCCCACGGTCCTGTGGTCTGAGTCAGGCGTGAAGGCCGCTGGACAAGCCCTGTGCCTCACGCCTCGGGCAGCGTTCCCCAGGGTGTTCTTATCACCACCTTACATTTTCTAAGTTTGGAGACTCCTTGCGTTGCTCCATGAGGGAACAAATGTTAATTCTGGAAATTGCCTCTCTGGTCTCATGACGTTCAGTGGTCAGTTCGTTGTCCAGTGATAAAAATCACCTCCCACTCAGCACTGAGAGAGCACTGTCTGTCTCTGCAGGTGGAGTCCAGTGACAAGGACCTCCATTCCGGTGTACACGGGGGCACGGTGTACGAGGCCATGACTGATCTCATCACCCTGATGGGTGAGCGTGGGGATAGGGCAGCATGTTCTATGGTGAGGGGTGTGAGGGGGTGCCATGCCGTGAGGGAGATGGTTAGGGGCACAGTGCCCCGTAAGGGGGATGGGAGGGGGCGCCATGCTCCGTGAGGGTGATAGGTAGGGACGCCATGCCCCGTGAGGGGGATGGGTGGGCTCCATGCTCTGTGAGGGGGATGGGAGGGGACATGATGTTCTGTGAGGGGGATGGGTGGGGCTCTATGCTCTGTGAGGGGGATGAGAGGGGGCACCATGTTCTGTGAGGGGGATGGGTGGGGCGCCGTGCTCTGTTAGGGGGATGGGTGGGGCGCCATGCTCTGTGAGGGGGATGGGAGGGGGCGTCATGCTCTGTGAGGGTGATGGGTAGGGCACCATGATCTGTGAAGGGGATGGGTGGGGTGCCATGCTCTGTGAGGGGGATGGGTAGGGCACCATGTTCTGTGAGGGGGATGGGTGGGGCGCCGTGCTTTGTGAGGGGGTTGGGTAGGGCGCCATACTCTGTGAGGGGGATGGGTAGGGTACCATGTTCTGTGAGGGGGATGGGTGGGGCGCCGTGCTCTGTGAGGGGGATGGAGTCTCTGGAGCATCAGAAGCAGTTCCACCCGGTCTCGGCCTCCCTCCTGCAGGCTCTCTGATCGACGGGAAGGGGAAGATCCTCATTCCTGGCATTTACGAGGCTGTGGCCCCCCTGACGGACAAGGAACTGATGCTCTATGAGGATATCGACTTTGACATAGACGAGTACTGCAAGGACGTGGGCGCTGAGACCCTCCTGCACAGCTGCAAGGTGCTGGCTCACCCACCCCACCCACCCTGTCCTGTGTCCAGCGGGCCTGTCCACCCATCCGTCTTGTGATGTGACCAGGTTCTGGAGACCCTCATGGGAGAGGCTGGTGGTGTCAGACATTGGCACATAAGTCGTCAGGTGCCTGATGTCTGAGCAGCAGGGAGCTAGAGATGGGTGTTGGGGTATCTGGTGCCAGCTCCTTGGGTAGGACCTGGAGGCTCTGTACATACAGAGGAAGCAGGACCTTGGGCAGTGAGGGGGCCGTGAGCAGTGAAGGGAGCTTCCGCCTCGTCTGTGTTTGTAGGTCAGTATGTTCCCGATGGGCCCAGGGGTTCAGTTGTCCCTGGCAGAGAGCTGTACAAACATTGCCTTCTGGGGAGTTTGTGTGGTGACTGTGCTGTCTTTCCTTTAGATGTTGGTTTATGAGGCATGGACACCAGCTCAGGCCACTTGAGTCAGCATTTCCTGGACTCTTACTACACAGGCAGGGCAGGACAGGAAACAATAGGAGGAAATACCACAGGCCGCCTGGGGGAGGCTAAGAACATTCCACTCCAGGGGCAGGACTCTGTGTGCCTGGGCTAGGGGGCCCTCATCACATGGCTCTGGAAGGCACTGACAGTTCCAGGCATAAGGAACTGGCCACAGTATGTACCCTGGCTGGAGAAGTGCAGGCAGGGCATGGGGGAGGGGCTGCCCAGCTGGGAAGATCTGAGTGCGGGGCCTCAGGCTTCATCAGGAACTGGGGTTTGAGCCTATTGAAGGCATGTGTCCATCTGTAGCTGAGAAAGCAGAGTCAGTGATGCGGGGGCTGGGGACACCCTAGACTCCGACCTGCAGAGGGACCGGTAGGACCAGGTGCCCAAGGCCACGGCACGAGAGTGAACATCCACCATCCCGTTAGGGTCTCTAGGAGGAAGAGGAAGCTCCTCCCTGTGGTCAGCCAGGGCATGCAACTCTGTTTACAAGTTCAGAACTGGGGTGCTCTGGGCTTGGCATGGTGCCCCCTCCAGCCCCCGCCCGGGCCATGCAGATGGTCTCACCAACAGGTTTGCTTAGACTTCGGGTGGTGCCCAGAGCCTGGGCTGCCCCTCAGTCGCTCTGTCATTGCCTGCAGAAGGACGTCCTGATGCACCGCTGGCGGTATCCGTCCCTCTCCCTCCATGGCATCGAAGGCGCCTTCTCTGGGTCAGGAGCGAAAACCGTGATTCCTCGGAAGGTGGTGGGCAAGTTCTCCATCAGACTCGTGCCAGACATGAACCCTGAGGCCGTCAGCGAGCAGGCATGCCGTGCCGGGGGTGCGGGTGTGGGAACAAGGGGCCGCAGGGCTTGCTGTGTGCTGTCGGAGACGTGGGCTAACGGAACAGTTTCTACTGAGACACTGAGTAACTGTCACAAAACAAACCTGCGCTGCTCATGCCGCCCTTTGGGCCCTGGCAGCTCAGCCGCTATTAGAACAAACAGAAGCTTATCAGAGGTCAAGGGCACACCGATAGGTGGTCCTGTGGGTGACCTCTGTCTCTGTCGGTGCTGAGGATGCTGAAACCTGACCTCGCCTAAAGCTTCTGGTCGGACTGTTGTGCCAATGTGTCTAACGTGTCACGTGTGTGTCACGTGGGCTCCAAACACACACATCCCACACCCCACCCCGCCCTCATGGCTGCAGATGAACCTAGCTTGTGGGAAGCCTCAGCTCCCTGACCCAGGAGCTGCACACACAGATGGCATCTCCCATCAGACCAAGGGGCCGTCCTGAGCTGGCGGCGCCTGGTGCCACACTAGGTCTGGGTGGAGTTCAGTGGGGGCTCATTTCCACAAAGAAATCAGGGAGCGTTGTCCAGCGTCATAGGCACCGGGATCTTTGGGAACAGCTGTGGGCAGGGTGAGGTGCTTGAAATCAAACCACCACCATAGGCCTTCAGTTAGCTGGGCTTTGGCACTGCTGTGTGGCCCCCATTCTGACAACGTGACCCAGGGACCAGGCCATGTGCTGGGCTCACTGTGTTTTCTGTCTGTGGCACAGGTGACGAGCTATCTGACCAAGAAGTTTGCCGACCTGCAGAGTCCCAATAAGTTCAAGGCGTACATGTACCATGGCGGGAAGCCGTGGGTCTCAGACTTCAACCACCCCCACTACCTGGCCGGAAGGCGGGCACTGAGGACAGGTGGGGACACACTCTGGGTGGATCGAGTCCAGCACGGCTCTGGCAAGTCACACGGACATGCACCATGCCATGACTTCCCTGACAGGGCTCTGGCAGTCCCACCACCCTGCCCTTCGCCACAGGTGTTTCTATCCCCCAGCCTCTGTGCAGGCTGGGTTCAAAGTGCAGGCTGGGTGCTGGATCTGTGGTGGCCCGAAAGCCAACCGTTCATTTTGTTTCTTCCCTGTAGTGTTCGGTGTTGAGCCAGACTTGACCCGGGAAGGCGGCAGCATCCCTGTGACGCTGACGTTCCAGGAGGCCACAGGCAAGAATGTCATGCTGCTGCCTGTGGGCTCAGCCGATGATGGGGCCCACTCACAGAATGAGAAGCTCAACAGGTGAGACCATGGGAATCACACCCCTCACGCATGCTGTGAGGACGTCGCAGGAGGGTGGGGGTCCCCTCCGGTCTTCACTCCTCCCCGCCTTCCACCCCTGTGTTGGACGGTGACAGCTCTGGTGGGACGTGGGGACGGGGCCTTGGGGTGACTTGACCAGTGCTTGTGAGTTTCTCTCTGCACTGCACCTGTGCTCACGAAAACATTGCATAGTGTTCCTCTCTGATGAAGCGGAGTGTGACTGCTGGGTGCATCTGCCACTGTGTACAGTCCTGACCCCGCAGGCGTGGTGGGGACACCCTGGACTCACAGATAGGCTGTGGCCTCTAGGGGAGGAGAAGCCAGAAACTCCAGCAGGCAGGAGCCTCTCCAGGCCAGTCAGGATAGGGAGTCCAGCCAGGAAGCATCAAGGAGGACAGAGAAATGGGATCCACCTTGGGGTGACAGAGAGCAAGGACTGAGACAGCAGAGAGCTGGCTGAGAGAGCCTAGGGGTGAGACCGGCCTAGTTACTAGGGTACAAGATGGAGGCCTGATCTCCAGGAAGAAGTATGCAAAAGGACAAGCCAGGACCAAGGTGGGCAGACATGCTCCACTGGATGAGGACCAGGGGGCCCACGGTGGGCAGTGGAGCTGAACCTGCACTGGAAATCATTGCCCTCATTATGCGGGAAGGCAGGTCTACGCCCACCAGCTGACAGCAGGAAAGAAGGGTTTCAAGCCAGTTCGTCCTGGTTCAGTCACAGCCAACGAAGCAAAACTGGAACAGACTGAAATTTGTAAACTGGGTAAACTGAACGGTAGTAAACAGAATGGGAACAATTATAGTTGATGGCCTGCTAGAACCTTAGTCTCATTTTAGAAAACAAGGGCGGTGTGGGTGTTGCATAGCAACCAAATCCCTTGACTTGCAGAGTTGGAAACAACAGTGCCCGGCTCAAAGATGGTAGCTGACTGTGCCACTGTGAATGTGTGTCACCCTCCCCAGTCCTGGCAATAACCCAGTCCCTGACTCAGGCTCCTGAAAGGGCTCACTGCACCCCTTCCACACCTCCCTATCCAGGGCTTTGACCCAGTCTTTTCTGCTATGGTGGTCATTCCACTTCACCCATATTTTAAAAATCCAGGTCTGTTCCCAATGTGCTTCATTGGCCATGACTGAAAGGGCTGGAGGGCCTGTGGGAAGGCCACCAGGAGGAAGTGGCTGGTACCCCAGCTGACACGGTTGTGTTTCTTTTCCACCAGGTGCAACTACATAGAAGGAACAAAGATGCTGGCTGCCTATCTGTACGAAGTGTCCCAGCTGAAGGACTGATGGCCGGTGTCCGGGGCACGTCTGATCAACAGCACCCTGTCCATACTTCCATCGCCCTGTGTGTGTCCTCCTCTTGTTGAACTCACCCCGTTGTCCACTGGTGCACGTGTGTGCCTGCCTCAGTGTGGACTC